AGCCACGCTGCCAGCTGATAGGAGGAGAAGAAGAAGAAGGCAGTGAAGTCTGGTACATGACTCCTACTTCTTACTGTTACCACCTGTGTACTCACCAATCTCGTACTGCACACTCAGAGCGAGTTTGGGCCACAGCATTATGAGTGCATACGAGGCATAGAAGTGGACGTCGTAGGTGTTGTACATTCTGTACTCCTGACCTGGAGAAAGGTTGCAGCTCTGTTAGTCCAGACAACACAGGCGTTACTACGTTAGACAAGAAGGGAGGGTGAGGATCAGCTCTGAGGAGAAGGAGGTCGCTGAGTCAACTAAGACGACTTTCCCATCAGAGCTGTTTGGTCCAGAGTTTGTTTCCTCTTTAAAACCCGGTTGACTTAACACATACTAAAGTAACGTTTCACACACGGTTCACAACATGAAGTAAGCAGACAAACCTGAACTGTTCCTCTGACTAAAACACTTGTGACCTTGTCATTCACCTTCAAGGTAGGCAAATCGACCGTACTCCTTGATGACATCAGGCTGTGCTGGGAGCCCCCCATCCTTGCTGCGTAGACCACCACTGATGTCAGCGTCCTCTGGCAGCTCTGTCCACACTGAGCCTCCGTCCACCACAAAGTACAGCTCGTTAAACAGAGCTGATTTATACCAGGAAGGAAGAGAACTGGAACAAGTGGAGAACAAGCACAAGTTCAGTAGAACAAAGGTCAGTGACACTTAAGAGTGAGAATTGACTGAAGATCGTGTTTGATGCAAGTGGCTCTAACTTCTGTAGCCAGTCGTCCAAGTCATTTTATCTACCTGTCCTGCAGAACTGGCCTCTGCCACTCCTCGATGCTCCTCTCCCACTGGCTGTAGTGTGTCAAAGCGTGGTGACTCAGAGAGGGACAGGCGTCCCCCTTGGTTCCAAAGTAACGGGTGTACCACCTGGAGACAAAGACAATATAAAAAACCTGTCAAATACTCTGACATCTGACAAGAGAAGGCGTGACTTTCACACTCTGATGTATTTAAGACTTTTAAAAGCTAAATTAAATAGCTTGGCTAACATTTGGCACATTTAGCTTGGATTTAGGGTATTTTTGAACAAACTTTATTCTTTCTTTGAGCCTAACTTTTTACCAAGTAAGTCAGTGGTCCCTCACCTTTTTTCTACCAAAGATCAGTTATCTAATATTGTCCAGTACCACGGTGATTGTTGGACGATCATTTAGGATCAGTACATTTTCTAAATAATTCAGAACTTCTCCTGTTAGTATTGGACTCTTAGAGCCCAGATTATTTCTACATCGAGGGCAACTGGAGGGAGTAGGTTTCTTGAAGACGTTTCAGTCAGGACTGAAGAAGACTCTTGGATGAGAGGGGAAACGTCTTAAAGAAACCTCCTCCGTCCAGTTGCCCTCGATGTAACTATTTTTGGATCTTTAGAAGATGTAAATTCTTAATTCTTTCACTGCGGCCCGGTACCTAATCACCGACGGACCGGTCTGATGTAACTCATACATTTGGCTTTTTCTGTTCTTTTCTTAAGTTAAAAGACAAAAACCAAACACATTTCGTGACCATTTACCTAAAGTGTTCCCTCTCTCTGGAGCCAAAGGTGATTCTGGGCATGTCCCAGCTCAGACAGAACTCCAGAGTGTTACGACTCTGGGCCGCCACTGAGCAGCCCACAGCCAAGGCTGCTGCTACTTTCTCTCCTTTAGACGTGGGAGGGCTGGCACCTGGGGTGGATGGAGGAGAAGTTTGAATCCTGACATTTGTAGTTAATATGTTTCTCCCATTTTCGTTTCTTCACTTACCTGTGGGAGAGTCCAGGCGTCCATCAGCAATGAGGTCGGTCCACAGACTGCTGCAGGTTCCACTTGGACTGAAGGCTGTCTGGTGACTGATATGTCTGTCAGGCTGTGGGGATGTGCTAATGAGAACTCTACTTCAATACAACCAGTGGTTCTCTAAATGCTTCTGCAGCGCCCCCTTATGTCCATCCATATCATCAAACTTTTTTAAGACACTATCATTCACACAAAACGGTTACTTTCAAAATTACAAATCAATGCAATTTTCTCACTGAAAATAAAATATTTTGAAATGTAAATTAATTTGCCTTGCTAACACCCTGATATACCTCCACTCCCCCCCACACTCCCCTCCCCTTTGATAACCACCGTGTAAAACCATTATATAGCTGCTGCAGAATCCTGAAATCCACCAGAAGGCCTGGTGAAAAGCTGCTGAAGTTTATTGGGATTTCAACTCAAACCTGTTCTCTGGCTGCGATGCTCATGGTGAACGGGTTCACTGGGGTACAGTGGTGCAACAAAACCCCCGACACGGACTCCCCCTCCTTCTCCAGGTGGAATGGTTCGTTCCAGTGTCCTCCTTTCTTGTCCGACTTGTGTCCCGAGCCGTTGACCATAGTGAACATGATGGAAACTTCCAGGTCGTGGTCATTATGGTTCTGGATGTCCCACACAAACACAGCCACGGGGAGACTGGAGTCCTGGGAATGTGACAACAGAATTATCAATGGATAATTCAATAATCATAATAATAACCAATGACATTTTGGGACACAAGGTGGCGCTCACTCCATATGAAAGAACTGGCTCCAGGTCCAATATTCTCACAGAAAATGAATGTGGCTCAAATAGTTAATATTTTTTAATAATAATAATCATCATCAACAGTATAAAATGTTTTTTAGATTCTTTGAATAAAAAAATTCTTTCTACAAAAATTTGTAAAAATTTAACGTGACATTAGATTTTGTAATTCTTTTTAAAAAGAAAACATTCATGTCAGATAAAAAAATTAATAACTCCACTATTTGTTCTTCTTTTTTTAGTACATTGTATTGAAATAGGAGTATTAGTTATCACATTTTTAAGGTAGGAAATTTTCTCACATTGAGCAACACTTAAGTTAAGACCCAGAATCATTTCGTCACACTTCTGCAATAAATGTTAATTTATCACACTGAGTGAAAGAATCACTTTGGAATGAAGTCATTTATATTGTACAACAACAGAACAGGGAGATGCTGCAGTTTTACCTGGTACTCATGTGGGATGACGGGGGAGACCTGTCTGCAAGTGAGGGTGAGGTTCTGTCCAGGGAGGTGGTAGACCGTCCAGGCTCGTGGGTAAAGGGCGTGGTAGAAGGCGTACTCCCCGCAGTAGCCCCAGTTCCAGCCCTGTAACGTTGGCGGACGCTCCACAGACAGAACCTGCTGGTAAACCGTTTGTCCTCCACGACGCAAACACACTGTGAACTGAACACAGAGCATAAAAAAAACAATATGAATGAAGAACAGCTTCAGGTTAAGTCTAACAACTCTTCAAGTTCTTTAAAGGTCAAGTTTCAAGGTTTTTCCATGCTGGTATGACTGTAAACACTGTTTCATGTTTTTGTAACTTCCTAGAAGATCAGTATGTTCTCCTCAGGTTCTCGATCATCTTCATCAGCTCCATTAGTTTCTACTAGACTCTCCCTCCAGTCCAGGTCTTCTTTACCTGGTTGGCTACGACCGTTTTGTAGTGGTACATTCCAGGGTTGAGCTGCCATCGACAAAACTCCCCTCTCCAACCTCTGGTGATGGTTCCTCCTCCAATCCCTCCAAGTGGAGCACCTGCAGGTCAGGAGATCAGGACAGAACACTGAGACAGAATCAAAAAACTCCCAGAACTGTCAGCACCAGAAACAAAAGGAAAACATCGATGGATTCAAGGGGTTCATCATCATCATCATCATCATCATGTGACGTCATCCTTCACTCACCATATATTTGTCGTAGAGGCAGAGGAGCAAACATGTCGATGAAGGGAGCCTTCTTCTCCACACGAGTCTTCTTGTACCACCACTTCAGATACCTGCAGGAACACAGACACTAGTCATGTGACTGGTCAAGAGGGCAGCGAGACACTGAAATAAACATAGAACAGCCAGAAACAACAATGCCATACTAAGTCACACTAACATGTGGAAAAAATTAACATTTTTAGTACTCCAGTGAGGTCAAAGGTCACTATGCGCAACATTCAACATTTTTCAGGCTAGAAGCAGGAACCACCAGTAGACCAGCTACTCTATTTAGGTTTTAATGTTCAACACAAATTCAGAATCAGCATAAAGAATAAAAAGAGTCAAATCAAACAGCCCTCTGGTCTGAATCCATCAGCCAGTCAGAAATTTTGAAATTCATGAGGTCATTTGTTGCCACTTTTTAATATGGGTATGGATATTAGTTTGTAATCTGTTCTTTCAGAACCTGTTCTTTGAGAACAGCTTTAGGAAACTGATCTGCTTCAGCACACCTGCAGTTTCCTGAGTCTAAAAACACGGGGAAAACCTCCTAAATCACAAAGCTGTTGATCAAACATTTAGACAAACAAACATATAAATAATAATATAAAACAATATAAATAAAATTAACTTTCATAAATAAAACCAGAATTCCACTTTAGGTGTTGTTAAAACAACAAAATAAAGGTTCTAAATTTTAGTGTAGATTTAATACAAAGTCAGTTGTCATAACTGTTTTGTTAACAGGTTAAAGCATCGCCCTTTCCAGCTGATGACGCTCTGGGCAACTGCTACGTGGTTGAAGGCAAGTAAGAGCAGCATTGCAGTAGACTACTAATCAGAAACTTGGCTGTTATCTATTAACTGATAGTGAGTGAGAGACAAAGAGCAGGAGAGAGAGAGAGAGAGAGAGAGAGAGAGAGTGAGATACCATGTTGATCTAACCTCACAGACAAACAGGAATTATGACTGGTGGTCTGTGTCAACACGTTACCATGGAGATTAATTTGACTGGAGACAGTAGTTTTATCCTGCAGAAATATTTAAAGTGGTGCTTTTGTTTACAAATGAATAGGTTTTCTGAAGCCCAGAGGTGGTCATGTGACGTGGTCATGTGACAAACCCATGCCACACCTCAACAGTCTGTCTCTGCAGCAGCAGCAGCAAAGTTCAAACAAAAAAAACAAACAAAAAAAAACACCAGCCTCAGAGGTGAATACACAGGCACAAATGTTTGTAAGTGGACAGTGAGTGGACAGTGTGTCACCTGACTCACTGTCACACAGCTTAGGCTGACACCACGACACAGTGTTGTTGACAATGAGCCAAAGTACCCACTGTGCAGAATATTACACATCACTATCAGAGCAGTCAGCAGGTTGTTGAGAAAACAAACATGACGATCAGCGCCTGCCCAGACTTCAGCGGTGGTTTTCCTTTCATTTAAATGGGATCAGATGAAAGCTACATTTGCTCGCAGCTGAACCATCAAACATGGGGTGGGGAGGGTTGTGTTGTCTGTGGTCCTGTAGATGACCAGGGACCCTCAAAACATCCTGCTATTACCGCTGGGAGAGGTGATGAAGAGAGCAGGTATACAGAAACTGAAGCTGGTGTGGGAATGCCAAAATAGAATTAATTAACTAATTGATTGTTTTTAGTTTTTTTTTTTTTATCAAATCACTTAATAACAACGTGTAGAGACTCAGGGAGTCAATAGTCACAACATCAGTATTGAAACTTCACGGCTGCCATGAGGGACCAGGCACTAGTTTACTACATTTATAGTTCAGTTTTATGACTGCATCACAAAATGTTCCACCTGGTGACCCCATGGTCATCATCTTTATGTTGAGTATGTTGGACAAAACTGACAATAAATATTTATCTTTTTGCCTGGTACCGCAAATATTGTTTAACGTTTTGGTTTCTACTGAATTGTAGAAATTTAATGTGGACCCTACCTTATAATGGGTTCGGGTGGGATTTGTGTACACAGCCATAATGTTTGACTGTTGTCACAGCCTTAACAAAACAACACCTACTCACCCCCCACGTCTCGAGGGTGAACTATGAAACTTGATCCTTGAGGTTAAAGGCACCTCTGGTACTCCACCCTGGAAACCAGGTAAAAGGGTTGAAGTGTATGTAGAGTAAAGGCTGTCGGTGGTGTGGAGGTGTAGCATGGGTTGAGGCCAAAGGCTCAGCAGGAGAAAACTCCAAATACAGTCAGAACATTGTGTGCAACACCGAGTGATGCTCTCACCTGATCCCCAGGCCAACGTGCTCCCAGATGAAGGACAGCGAGACATCTTTTGCTTGATAAGGACTTCTCTTCTCCTTAAACTCATGGGCCAAACAGATCCTCCAGCCCTCCTCAGGAACTCCATATCCCTTTTCCTTGGAGACGTACCTGCTCATGAGGTCGGCCGTGGATTTTTCACCCCATTCTGTCGTCATTGTTGGACAAGGTTCCAGCACCACGGACAACTCAAAATAGTGAATGGGACCTGAGCAGGTTGGGTGTATTTAAGATTAAAATCAGTCAACACCTTGTGTCAACAGTGCCAAGTGTGAACATGCACACACACAAACACAAACACACATTCAGACACAGATATTCTTCAGGGACAAACCAGTTGACCAGATTTTAAATACTTGTGAACAGTTTCTTTACTTTAAACACAAACAAATGTCATAGCACATTTCAAAGGTTTGGAAAGAGTCACCTCCCATTTTCATTCTTCGGATAAACTAGTTTTACAAGTGAACCTTCTGTCCATCCTCCTAGCACAGAACATGAGCTGCTCCACTCCCCCTGGTCTGTGATTGATTCTCCTCTTCATGTAATGACGCAAGTTTATTCAAGCACTCCATCTACTATACATCTGCACAGCTCTACTATATATTATATTTGGATATCTTTATGTACTTTGTATTGACAACACGGAGCTACAATTACTTATAACAAAGTTAAAGGATTTCTAAAGATACTTTTTGAAAGATTCATAGAGGATAATAACCCTCGTTTCTGGGCCACAGCTCACACATTTGGAAACGCCAATGTGTTTAGATCCATTAGTGCTAATGTCAAGTGAAAACCTCACAAACTCTCCTGTCACAGCAAAAACACAAAGCGAGTATAGGTGAATTGCGGTTATGACTGCAGGGAAGCGCAGCGACCTACAGTCTGACATTAAAACAGATGAAAATGATTAAATATACATGTATACAGTATATACATATACCTTGTGCTGTCGTTCTTCAGCATCTTCCCCTTGCTCTGCTCAAGCCACAATCGACGCAATGTAAATAATTTACGTTCTTCACCTACCGGCGATTTGTGTCCCTCTTGAAAGTCTCCGACAGCTAAGTCACTCAGGTTTTTTAAAACAAAACGCCGTGTTTTACCCAATAATTTTGTCACATACCATGTCATGCTACATTACATAAAAACGAACTAAAATATAAAGATGATTTTCATGAGAACTGAGTCGCTTTATTCCGGCTAGGCGCGCCTCGCAGTCTTGCTCTAGGGAAAAACCACCACAGAGATACCAACCTGCAGTCGCTGCCCGATCGTCTTCTTCGCTTTCATTGTAATGACTGTTGGAAAATCGCGTGCAAGTACATTGCCTCCACCCTCTGGACTAAAGGGGGATTGCAAGTGTAAAAGACAACGTATATGTTTTATGCGTTATATGCTAAGTTCTCTAGAACAAGTCGAGATCGCATTACTTTTACTTTTACTTAGCAATATTAGCAATATTGGCTGCAGTTAAAAGGCACAGGTGAACATAACACAGTTTAACCTAAACCCTTTGTGTTTGGAACTGCTGACTGGCCTTTGATGTTGGTTGAATTTTACTTTATGGGCAAAACGGGAAATGGAGATTTTGCTGTTTTTTGGCCAAAAGGTTTTCGTTTTCCTAAAGGGTTCCTAAAGTGTTTGTTTAGGTAGAACTAATAAACATCAAGTCTCCACGTAACCCTGGATCACTTAGTTTGATGTGTTCTGAGAGACTACTGAGTAGCTTTGTTTAGCTGTCATTGGTGGTGGTAATATTGGGGCTTGATATGAAACAGCGAAGCGACCCAAACATGGCACATTTTTAGTAGTAAACATTAGAAACATTTGATCAAATAGGATGTAAAAAAAATCATCATCAACACAAGTGACATCAAATGCAATGCAATGCAAAAAAAAAAGTACAATACACACACAATTGTACAAAGCATTAAACAAATAACTACCCGATGAAAATGTAAATGAAAGGTTAACCAGGAAGACGGCGTACTCTGAGCCTGTACCATTTGGGTTGGAAAAGCAGGGGTGTCTATCTTTAATTCTTTAAAATGCTCTATCTAATAGGCCTTCAAGATTTTTGTCAAAAATATCGGCAAAAAGAAAAAGTAAAAAAGGGCTAGTTATCCAAAAAGGGCACATTTTTGCCGAATATAAATAAACATATGCAAACGTTTTAACCTGAAGATGCCGACTGTGCTCCGTGAGCTGGCCGACAAAATACTTTTCCTGCGTTTTTTGTTTCGTATTATTCGTGCAATTTTTACGATTGACCAAAGTGTAAATATAGATTGCAATTGAGATAAGTTTGTAATTGACAATTATTTTAGAAGTCTTTATTTTTTATTTGTCCCACTATGTTTTCCCTTGATTTGTGATTTGTCGAACCTCAGAGAACCTAGCTTATCTAGTGGGATTGTTTACTGTAGCTGGAATGGTACGGCTAACGATATAAAGTATGTCCAACTCTTGAAATAGTGGCTAAACAAATTGATTGTTTGACTTAAACGTTCAATTTTATGTGTACTCTGGGATAAAACAACAAATTATTTCGCTGGTGATAAAGTATAAAACTACGGTAAGTGTTTACATGACTCTGAAAACGAGCTAACTTGTTACATTTCCATAGAGCGTACAGGTTTTACACTGCTGCGATCACGAATCATTGTTAGAGATTTTTGTTATTTCCTGTTATCCTGATAACGTGAACCTGATGTGTAGCGTGACAGATGATCGAGGTGGTGGCTTCCATGGCCCGAGGTCCAGTGTTTCTGGCCGGGGAGCTCATGGAGTGTCTGATCACATTTACCAACCCGATGTCCCATCTGTCTACGTCTGCGACCAGGTAGGAGCACATCGATTATCACTCAGCCCAGAAAAGAAAACCTTTGTAGCACATTGTTTGTCGTGTAGCATGAAGTAAAAAGTGATCATCGGTTACTTTTGTCTGATGATTCTAAGTGATGATCTAAGACGTAAACAGGAGGCAGATCTAGACAGTAGTATTCAAACATCTACTTCATGTCTTCATGGCAACACTATATTTTAGTAAGAAGGAATCTCGTATTGCAAGTTTGTTACCAATCCAATTAAAACTTGTTTTTGCTTTTTTCTAATTAAATAACGCTTTCGATAAAATGTACTAACCCTTCTTCAATTACAACTTGTATAAGAGCAGACAACACTCCAACCGTTTGTCCCAATACTGATCACTAAATGCCTCTTCATCACTTGTCGTCTGTCTGTCTTCCAGTGAGATGCTGGCGTGGGCCAGCGCTCAGATCCACTGCCAGTTTCATGCTAGTGAGAGCAGGGTGGCTCTGCCAGTACAGGGCATCAAACAGGACGTCCAGGCAGAAAGTGACACTGTGCTTATTCCCAGCAGAGGTCAGCAGAAATCTAACAATGCCCAAATATGTCTGTGAAAAAAGTATGAAATAGTTTTTAATTTCCTTTTTTTACCTCCTGAAGGAGAGCGAGGGCAGTGTGTGCTGGACACCCCTCCAAAGATACTGTTCTGTGACCTATGTCTGGACCCAGGGGAGAGCAAAACGTGTATGTCTGCTTTGTGTGTGGAAAATGAACTTGTGGTCCACTTCATTAGGAACACCCACTGGACTCATGCTCATATCTGATCAGCCAATCACACAGCGGCAACTCGCTGCATTTTACTATTTGTTGTTATTACCAAAATCTCTGAGTAATTCTGTTCAACATTCTGATGTCTGGACCAAGTCAAACAAGGTGTCCCTAATAATGTGGCCACTCAGTGTGTATGTATCAGTTAAAAGTTTTAATGAAGCTGAATCTGAATTGTTTAAATATCAAAAACTAAATGAATAAATGTCTCTGTTTGTACAGATTCTTACAATGAAATGGTTCCTGCAGATGGTCCTCCCAGTTTCCGCGGTCAGTCGGTGAAATACGTCTACAAACTGACCATTGGCTGCCAGAGAGTCAATTCTCCAATCAAACTACTGAGAGTTCCCTTCAGAGTGCTGGTCTTGCAGGGTTAGATTGCTCTGAGTTGGTTTTGCTCCAATGATTACTTTTAGCATTAGTCATCCAAAAGGACAATCCGACCTTTTCCACTCTCTGATCTGCAGGGATGCCAGAGCCGCTGTTTCCTCAGGACGAGGAGGTTTCACCATTAAACCCTTTCCTGGAGGAGGACGAAGCGAGTCGTAGGGATGCTCGGCCTCTGGAAAGAGCGTTGGACATGTTGATGGTCACCACCTCCAGACGCTACCCACGTGGGTCCCTATTTACCTGCTTTGAAACATTCAGCCAAAAACCACTCGTGACCAACATGCTTTAGTCATTATTGTTATTGTGTCATGACAATATTTAGTCTTTAGCTATTTTTTTGTTTATTTTTATAATGTATTATAAAATATTTTTAGATTTTGTTATTTTTTTCTTCAACTTTCATTGGACAGTGGATAGTTATTGCAAATAACCTTTTTTTTATCACTAAATATTTTCTAAACTTTTTCAGAATGACGTTTTTTTAAATAAGAGTTTTTTATTGGATAAGACTGTTTATTTTTATCTATACGCTGTATATAGTATAGCTTTTATAATGTCTTTAGGTTGTGATTCTTCTTTCTTTTCCCTGCTTTTTCCTTAGACATGTTCAACATCACTAACATCAGAGGGAAAGTTGCAAAGTTCTGTATCTTTAAGACGGTTTACAGACTGGGTGAGGAGGTCATCGGAACATTTAACTTCTCAGAGGGAGACATTCCCTGTTTACAGGTGAGTTTTCACGCCGTCATCCTGACATCGTCCAGTGTTTGACTCGTGGCTCTTGCTTTCTAAAGTCTGTATTGATGTCCAGTATTCAGTGAGCCTCCAGAGTGAGGAGGAGATCCAGACACAGTACCAGCGGCGACCTGGTCAGGCGGTCAGCGTGACGGGACATGGGCGCCACCTGGAGTCCTGCCTCCACACTGCCTCCAGCCACTTCTCCCTCCCTGTTCCACTCAACGTCACACCAGGATTCAGTACTGACATCGGTCAGTTGTTATTTTAGATTTTTGCATTTAGCCTTTAAGTTAGCATTGGTTGGTCTGAAGGGAACATTTCTAAAACAAGTCTGAAACACAAAAGGTTTTAGCCAAGAAAAATTTAGTTTTATTCTGGGGTTAGGCCAAAGAGAGAAAGAGAGCGCTAAGGATTAGCCAAAAAAGATAGCATGTGAGGACTGTCCTGCCTGCAATCCAGATTTTTTTACTTTAAATATGTTCAGAGAACAATGAAGAAGAAAATCAGACAAAGGTGATGACAGACAGGAACTCTCACCTGTTGAACCCAGTCTTAAGTTTAATACATTTAATATGAACTTTGACCTTTAGAACTGTTGTCTCCGCAGTTTCTCTTCGTTGGCGCCTGCACTTTGAGTTTGTTACTGCCAGAGAGCCAATGGAACCCCCCACTGTCCTTCCTAACCAATCAGAGGTCACAGTCTGGACCGGGGCGGAGCAGGTGGACGTGGACACCTTCAGCTGGGACCTGCCCATCAAAGTCCTGCCCACCAACCCAGCCCTGGCCTCCTACGTGTCCCAGTTCACAGGAACAAACAGCATCAACATTTAACCCCAGGGAATGATGGGAAAGTTTTCCCTTTGAATGAGGAGTTAACAGAAATATGGACAAAAAAATCTTGTTCTAATATAAAACTCTAAACGCACAAGGTCGACATCAGAATGAAAATAATTCTCACCTCAATCTGTTGAGAATAATGTTCAGTAATTCAAGTCTGCTTTAATCTCTAAATATACTAAAACATGAGCATAATCTGAGAGTTAATTGCAGATAAGGAAAAATAGATTAACCAATAATACTTTAGATTTTACACCTTGATATTTTAGTGAATTTTAGAAAATGACCATTCTTGTTTTAATCCCACTGGGCCAAAGTGACTTCAATGTCAGAATTATAGGCAGAGAATTTTTTTATGAACTTTAACCTCCTGAGTAGAAAGTCAAAAATAATTTTACCTCTTGCAGAAAATTGAGTCAGTCAAAAAGTCAGTCTCAGGTCTGAGGTGAAATAATCCCAACTTTAATCTTGTGAGATTAGTTGAAACCTGAAACAGTTAAAAAGTTCAAATTCAAGAGTCAAGGACATAGGGTAATGGCTTTAACCACCAGTTTAGAAATAAAATATTAGTGATGTGTGATGAAACACACACTGACCTCCTTACATTTGTTTTTATATTTCTTATTCTTTTATTCCACTTGTTTTTATATTTCTTATTCTTTTATTGTTAACTGTTGTTTGTTTTTATTTTATTTTTTACTTTTTTTACGTGTAACTGTCCTCTTTAGGCCTCAAATGTAAATACTGTCAGAGAAGTGAGGAGTGAATTAAAGCTTGGTGACATTTGTTGTAATGTCTTCATAACAACAGCATTTCTGTGTCAGGAGTTTATTTTAGGTTGAATGAGCGACAACAGAGAACAGGTCAGAGTCAGTAGATTGTTAATATAATAATGTACGTCACATAAATGTTGTACATGGTTGCATGTACAGGGACTGCAGTGATCGCAGTAAAGATGAGAGTATACACGTTAATGTTGCAGTCATCTGGGGGTTTTTTTAAGAAAATGTTGCAGTTCTACTTCAGCTGAGAACAAAATTACAGGTTAGTTATCATCTTAAATGTTAGAATGTAGCCTTTAAAACATAGCATTTGTTAATAGACTAGCTTCAGCTAAGGGACTCATGTTCAATAGAATTATAGACAACTGTTCAGCTTCACGTGATCTGTGTGGACAGTGAGTCATCCCTTGGTTGAATGGAAGTTGGAACTAAAGTTTGTCCTTAATCTGTGAGGAGTTCATGGTGAAAACATCAGAGCAAAAACAAAGTTTTGACTTGAAATCCATCTTACCTTTAGGAGAATGAAATGTAAAAGAAATCAAAATAAAACACTCAAGTCCAGCTAAGAACTGGGACTGGGGGTTCAACTCCTAAAGATCAGACTGAAGTCTGCTGAGAAGAAGCTGGAGAAGAGACAGACTGAAGGAGATCATCTGGTCTGAGAGACTGAAGCTGAACGTCTTTGACTGTAGAGATGGTGAAGGTGGTTGGATAAAAACCCAGAGAGGAACAGAACCTAAAGAACACTGTCCTCACACTGAAGGAACACTACTGTGGAAACCCTGTAAGAGATTTGCTCTGATTTGAAAATGCTTCAATTTTGAGGGTTCAATAAAACTCTGACCAGGTCAAAGGTCACACAGCTCAACACTTGACAAAGATATAATGATGAAACTGGTCAAAGCTGTTGGAGACACAGAGACCAGTCTGAACTGGTTCTAGTCATTAACATCAGAAAACATCTGTCTCAGAACTTTCTGACTGTAAGCCTCATTCACTTGAACAGGAACATTTTCAAACGTAAACATGCAGACAATGCAGACGGAAGTTACTGGTAAAGAACTGCAGCAGTGAGTATTGGTTTCACAGGGCAAACAGACAGAGTAGAAGGTTGTCAGTGCTAATCCCGCTCGTAATCCTGGAGCTGCAGCTGCAGATGAACTGAGCCGTGGCTCGGGTCCTTCAGCTCCTCACCCGGAAGGCAGGGCAGACGGGGGTCGGCCGTCTGCACCAGGGACACTGTGCAGGACACCCGCTCCACCCGCACCTGACACCAGGCGGGGAAATCCACCGGCCGCTGAACCCTGGAGGATGAGACACAGAAACGGTTAGGAGACGTTTGTGTAGGGGTTAAAAAAATGTCCAGAGTCAAAGAAAAACCTGGACGGTTTTATTTCATAATAAACGAGAAATAAGTCCTGGTGCCGACTAAAATAAAACAGGTCAGACTTTTTAAAACATTTTATGCCTCTCGCAGGTTAAAATCAGAATCACAACAAGTGTATTATTTTTTAAATTTAATGTCACACTTAAATACTAATGCTGAAGTAAGTAAGTGAGTAAGGATTGATGCATAAAAGGATTTTCACTTTTGGAGAATTATAACATTACAGACGCAATGAGCCTGTTAAGATGAAAATTCTGAGAACGGTATTAAAGGAATTCAAAAATAATTAAAACGTTGACGATAAATATATATTTTTATAATATTTCTATACAATATTTTCTACTTGTTTCTAATAATTTTTTATTCAAACTTTAAAACTTCTGAGAAAAAAATATTGAGCATTTGGCCTTTATATCTGAGGTAAAATCAAAATTCTGACAAAAAACATTTTATTACATTCAAGGCAATTTTTATGGAAACAAGCCATTTTTAAATTTTTAAAAAACTCAAAGTCAAAGAAGAGAATAAGTTCTGGCGATAAAGAAAGAATTTAGAGTATTTCTTTTATATCTAATGCAATGAGAATTATTTCGTTGTTTTAAAAAAAGTTTTTACTGCAGTCAATAATTTTTTTAAGAGAAAGATTAAGATTTGAAAAAAATCAAATTCAATTCAGAGATAAGACTTCTTCTTTTCCTTTCAGATTTGTCCCTTTTTCAGGGGTTGCCACAGCGAAAGACTATGTAGTTTAAAAGTGATACTTCAGTACATTAATACTTCTACTACAAGAAGTATCTTAGAGGTTTTCCCACAACAGTTCAACTGTGATGAAAAGTATCTATTTAGAACTCAGTAAGATTAAGTTTTTGTTTTGTTTTTTAAACTCACGTCTCGCAGCAGCCGACTCCCACAGGATACAGACAGGTGCACTGCATACAGGAGTCGTCCATCCAGGATTCTCCCAGAGAGAAGCGTCTTCCCTCAAACTCACACAGCCCTGGAACAAAGAGCATGAAAGTTCAAATCTAAAACTAGAGTCTGAGCTTCATCTTTGTCTTCAGTGAATCATTTTTACCTCTGGAGTCAAAGTGACACTGCATGGAAGCAGCAGACACACTGCTGCTGCTCCACAAGAGAAACCACACGGCTGCAAGCACCAAGCTCACCCTGGCAGCCTCCACCTTCATCTTCATCTTCATTGTCATCTTCATCTGCTGCAGTGTGCTGGACCTCGGCTTCCCTCTGCTGCCTCATTTATACGTCCTGAGTGCACACACCGTGGCCTGGAGGTGTGGTCCACAGTCCAGGCTGTGTCAGCGGTGGTGCCATCCACTGGGAGGATGAAGAGGTGAATTTGTCCCGGAGGGCAGCAGGAGGGCAGCAGGAGGGCGAGAGGGGAGGCAGGAATCCTGGGTCTTCTTGGCACAGTTTCCTTGGAGATCAACTGGCTGCGCTTCAGCAGGCATGAAGCTCCAAATAGATAGAAAGAATGACACATCCATGCCATGACTAAGAGAGGGGAGCATGAGGGGGAGACAGAGGGGGTGGAGGGGTGACGCTCAAGAAGAGGAAGTGGAAGGAGGATTGAATTATAAAATGATTCATCAGCTATCAGTTTCTCCAGGGCTTTGTGGCCCAGGTCACTGTCCAGGTCACAGTCCAGTGGGACAAAAGTGATGTCAAACAAAGACAGTCAGAAAGTCCCAAGACAGATGTTTTATCCATTTCTGCAGGTGTCTGATATTAATGACTAGAACCAGTTCAGACTGGTCTCTGTGTCTCCAACAGCTCTGACCAGTTTCATCATCATATCTTTGTCAAGTGTTGAGCTGTGTGACCTTTGTGACCTTTGACTTGGTCAGAGTTTTAATGAAGCATTTTCAAATCAGAGCAAACCTCACATTTTTGACCAAACTTGAATGGAAACCTGTTCAGATGATTGAAGCTCATCAACTGGTTCTGATCTAGAACCACCTGAGGTTTTTTATTTTCCTGAAAGAACATTAAAAGGAGGTGGATTTCAGTTCTTAGACCAAACAGACAGGAGCAGGTTGTGACCTGGAGTCAAAGACATCGACCAGAATTCTACAGAGAAGAAGAGTTCTCTGATGGAGACACCACTGAAGAAGAGAGCAGACTGAGACATGGAGGAGATGGAGGAGAGACAGAGATTTGTTGTTTGATTTTATTTGTTTTGACCATCATAACTGCAGGCTGATTTTAAATGATCTAAATATTTTCATTTGACCTTTACTTAACCAGATCCCTGTAAGATGTTCCGAAACATTTGGGGAAAGTCAGACTGAAAAGGTCAAACATTATGGAAGGTTCCTGAATCAGTGGATCCACTGGTAAACAGTTTGAAGATCAGGATTAAGACATAAACATCCACCCCTGAGTCCTGAAACGTCTCCATCCAGCACCAAGTAGTCCAGTACTGGCCTATTATCTCTAATAGTTTAAAATATTAACTTTATATGACCAGAAAGTTAATTGATGACAAATCAAGGCCAAAATGGACAGCTGAAAATATTCATAGATGAACTTCAGCGAGCAACAAGAGAGCTGAAAGTAAGCCTAAAATAGCAAGGAGAAAATAAAGATATGTAATCAACGTTTTCTCCACCACGTTCATTCCTGAGAATAAGACTCGGCTGTAATTTGATCTTTGTAAAACATGAGCTCATCATCTTCCACTTGCTTCTATCTGCAGACCGACAGAGAAGATCATAGGAAAAACCTCCTCAAACCTGTTGACAGGAGGCCCCAGAGATCAGTGAAGTGCTGCTTGTCCTGCCTGGTACCCAGACTGACGGTCCTCCTTCCTCCATCAGCCAGCTTCTGCAATCACCTCCATGACTCACACTTGCCTCTGTGTCAGGCTGCCTGGAGTCTTGTTGTCATTCATATAAACATAGGTGTCATTAAGAAGGCCTGATGGAATAGGCTGGACATTTCAGAAGTTCGTTTCCGTTTTTCTGTCATGTGTTTGGATTGGACACCAGTTCTGTGCGGCGCTGGTAGATTCTCCACAGTTCCTAACATGTGCATGTCTCAGCCTGATTGGTCATCAGGGACCATCAGGGAGGATCTCCTCAAAACAAAAGATGAGGATTTTCCTGTCACACGCCTTTCCATCGCTTCACACACAAGAACTTAATTGGTGACAAGTGCATTCTAACCAGAGTCAAGGACATAGGGTCAAGTTTACAAGAGTTGTACCAGCGTGGAAATCATAAAACAAGTATGTTCTTGGTCACAACGACGACCTTTAATGTCGACACAACGTAACCAAAATACCTGTTGTTATAAAAATAAATAATAAACTTCTTTTGGTGCTTTGTCTGTCAGGAAGACATTTGTTCAGACATTCAACCTGTGAGGACGATCAGATCTGTGTCTCTGTGGACATTTAAAGACCATTTAAAAAAATAAAATACACATACACCCTTGTCACTACATTTATTCGATTTCCAAGAGAAGCTTTTGATCAAATAATGTTCAGATTTGTCAAACTTTTCTTTGCATTTTAGGTCAAATGACAAAGAAAGCTTAAAGCAAAACATAAAACTATACTGTAGATCTAAAGCAAGAAGTCAGGGCCGAGGGGTGCTAAAACTTAGCATAACTAGCTAAAATGTAAGACAAATGCTGGAAGTCGGTCATAACGGCATAAATGGAGAAAAAGCAACTTCAATACGGGCTGAAAATGTGGTTACCAGAAAATAAGCACATTTGTCATGCTTAAATATAAAAAAGTGTATTCTTTTTTACACAGATATATAAACAAATAATGAATGAATTTATTAATAAATTGTTTACACAGATATATAAACAAATAATGACTGAATTTATTAATAAATTGAATAATAAAGCCCTGTCCATTTTATATATTATCCATATCGAGTAATATTTCAATAACGTACACAAACAACTGTTAGCCGAGACATATTATTACAAAATTTAACGTCACGAATATATTCAAGAAGGCAAAAAGGAGTCTCTTAATAACTTTTACTAATTTTTTTCTTTGCAATATCACTTTTAAGAAATAAATACTGCAAGTCCGCAACTACCTCGCAAACTGGTAATTAAATAGGAAATAGACCTTTAACAAACATGCCGGAAGACTCCGCCTCTCAACACTTCCCCTTTTGCTACATCCAGGCTCGACTAATCAATCGAAAAAAGCGCTAGCACTTCATGGTAACTACGACCTTTTTTCGTCGGCATTCGATTACTTTTGACTGTGTATAGATTTTCTCTTTGGCCACTGCGGTGTTGTTGTGCTGCTTAAAAACACCGAATCATGTCCGTCAGACAGTCGTTAAATGTATGCCTTTAATGAAAATTAAGGCGTTCAAACGTTGAGTTCTGGTAAAGTTTACGGACCGGTGAGCTCTGTGAGCGTGTGGCCGGTGTGTGAGCGCAGCTCGGCGGACTGTTTTTGCGCTCAATTCGGGGCCTTGTTGCAAAACCAGCCGCTGTCACGGGCTCACACGACCGTCCGGTTTCCCCCCCTTCGTTTCGTTTTTAAATGTTCCAGGTTCAGCGGCTTGTGCTTCACACCAAGTGTTTTCCTGCGGGACGATGGACACTGACAAGTTTAACTATGTCTACAGCTGTGACCTGGACATTAACGTTCAACTTAAGATGTAAGTTGTCAACTTCCCCGGTAATAAAGCAGTAGTCGTTTATGGTCTATCGTCTCTTATTCAACAGACATTCGGATTACGATGATTATGATGTAAGACACCGTACCGTACTGAGTTACCACATTTATCACTGACGACACATTTTGACAGTTGTTCTGTCTCCACACATTTGCGACAAGTTGGCACAAATTCTTCAGATGTAAAATCAGTCGGTTGGTTAATAACTGGCTTTGTGACAGGTGAAAAGACTCGCAGGGTTTAAAAAGACCTGATTGGAGAGTTTGTGATTGCTCAGTTTTAAAGGTTCAGTGAAAAATATCTGTCAATTTGACTTTTTCTTTTAAATTTTGGTTCTCATCCACCTACAGAGGCAGTTTGGAAGGAAAGCGGGAGCAGAAAAGCTACAAAGCGCTGCTCGAAGACCCAATGCTGCGGTTCTCTGGACTTTACCAGGAGAACTGCTCCGACCTCTATGTCACCTGTCAGGTGTTTGCTGATGGAAAACCTCTGGCTTTGCCTGTCCGCACCTCGTACAAGGCATTCAGCACACGGTGGAAGTGAGTCTGAGGCCCGTGTCTTTGAAAAGCTGATCAGTCATTTGATGATTTTCAGAAGACGTAACTGGAAGACTGCAGCTTCCTGATGACGTTTGGTCCACACAGGTACAAAAACTACATTGTCATCAATTTGATCGTTCTTCATCTTCTCTGTCCTTTGTTCTCCTGTCATGCAGCTGGAACGAGTGGCTGCGGCTGCCAGTCAAATACCCAGATCTTCCTCAAAGTGCCCAGGTCGCTCTCACGGTGTGGGACATCTACGGACCAGGGACGGCCGTACCTGTGGGAGGCACCACCGTCTCTCTGTTTGGTAAATATGGGTGAGTTTCCTCTCGATCTTTAATCCCTAAGTTACGTGAATGCAATTTCAACCCACAGTCACTCGAGGTCATTTTTGTCTGCTCTAGAATGTTCAGACAAGGGATGCATGACCTGAAAGTGTGGCCAGGCGTGGAGGGCGATGGTGGGGACCCCACCACCACACCGGGTCGTACCAGTAGTAGCCTGACAGAGGACCAGATGGGCCGGCTCGCCAAGGTACAGCACGTGTGGAATAACAAATATGGTTTGTTTTTAAAAATGCAGTAAACATAAGGGTAAAGGCCAGGCACACTGAGCAGCAGTTTCCACCTTTATCCCTTACACACAGATATGATCAACCACACATGGACATTGTCTAAGTTCAGTACAAAGGTGTGAGCCATAACACCATCCTTCCTCAGCCTTTGTAATGTGATGCAAACCTCAGTTTTTAAACAAGTCTGTGTTTGTCAGGCACAGTTGAGTTTGTTACCACATGACAGGACACGAGGTTTGTCAGGTGGCGCAGGATCACATTAGTGAAGCATCTGTTCTGTGGCTAATGAGACAAAGACTCTGTTTCAACACTCATTTGTTCCAGGGCCCTGACCTGAAGGTACTCTGTGATGTGAGTACAAGCAGAACAGTCAGTGTTGACCATGCACAACATATATGTGTTTGTTTGCAAGGCCTTGGCTAGGGTGTGTTTGCAAGTGTCTTTGTTTTTTGTAATTTTGTAATTTCTGGACTGTATCAGTGGAGGATACACACACACACACACACACACACATACGTTGGGCTGTTTGTTTCGAATGATTATGTATGTAAGTAAAGAAACTTTGAAACACAATTCTGAGTCCCTTCATCGTAGACCTACACACTGACATCAGTGTAGTCCAGCACAGCACAGGACTGGACTGTAAAGTCCAACTGCTGCTGAAGGGACTCCTTCAAGTCTACTGAGAAGAAGCTGGAGAAGAAACACAGACTGAAGAAGATCATCTGGACCTGGATCTGAGGAAAATCTTTGACGGCTGCCGGCCGTATGTGGAAACAGGAGGGACAGACATCAAACCCAAAGACATTGTCTCACAATGAAACATTGAAGTATAAGGCAGGAACCGAGTACTTCCCAGAACCCTGAAGTACAGGAAATACTCTTCCTATGAGAATCACAATGAAGTGTAGTTGTTTGTCAGTTGTTTGAAGAGTCTGATTCTAACCTGACCACATGTAGGCGCTCTGCTCATGGCCAAGTGTGCGCTTACATTTCACTGACACTGACTTGAGGAGTGGTCTGGCTGCTGTCTCACCAGTTTGTGCATGTTTTTAGTGAAGCTGTTTGCACACCAGCACCCCCTGCTGTGGGCAGTTCATGTTTGGTTGTACATTCATGTCTTCTGCTGTCACCAATATGTCTTCTTCTTCCTCCTTTTTTCCGCTCTGGCGTTGGTCCAGCTGACGAAGGCCCATCGGCAGGGACACATGGTGAAGGTGGACTGGCTGGACCGGCTGACCTTCAGAGAGATCGAAATGATCAACGAGGTGGGATTGTTTAAGTCTGCCTGTTTTTTTTTTTATAAACACTAAAACATACAATTGTTTTCCATATTTTAAGCAACTCTTTTCACCCCTTACTTTATTTATTAAATAGTTACATTGAAGTTGTTACGGTTCATGTGGTAGGTGCAGCTGTTAGCAGAGAGTCCTGTGTTTGTTAGTGTTTTGGTGACGACTGTGTATTTCTGACATCATCTTTGGTTTCTCTCTAACCCTGATCCCGACTCTGCAGAGTGAGAAACGTAGCTCTAACTTCATGTACCTCATGGTGGAGTTCCCACGTGTCAAAACCAACGACAGAGATTACAGCATCGTTTACTATGAAAAGGTTTTGACATCACAGACACACGGTAACATCTGCTAGAAGAAAGCCCTCACTAAAACACTGACCAGTCTGATTCTGTCACCACTGCTCAGGACGGAGATGACGCCTCACCAGTTCTGACCAGCTGTGAGATCGTCAAAGTTCCTGACCCTCAGATGGGAATGGTGAGATGAAAGTCAAATATTAATTTGAATGTTAATGTAGCTAAAGAAGCTAAACATAGATTTAGTTTACGTTACTATCTTTTTTTGTTCAACTTTGGTTTGACAGGAGAACCTGGTTGAAAGCAAGCACCACAAACTGGCCCGTAGTCTCCGCAGTGGACCATCAGATCATGACCTGAAGCCCAACGCTGCCACCCGTGACCAGCTCAATGTAACACGCATCATTTTTATATGAAAAAAAAAAATTATTTGGATGGAAAAAATGATTAACCTAGACTGCTGGACTCTCTTGTGTTTCTGTGACCCGACAGATCATCGTCAGTTACCCTCCAACCAAACAGCTGAGCTCCGAGGAGCAGGACCTGGTGTGGAAGTTCAGATACTACCTCACCACACAGGAGAAGGTCAGCAGGTTCTCTTTCAAACCCTCTAGGTCTACAAAAACCTTTGTGTTCTCCAACATCACACGGAGATCTTCTTCCTTGCCACCAGGCTTTAACAAAGTTCCTCAAGTGTGTGAACTGGGATCTGCCCCAGGAGGCCAAACAGGCGCTGGAGCTGCTGGGGAAGTGGAGGCCTATGGATGTAGAGGACTCCCTGGAGTTGCTGTCGTCCCAGTTCACCAACCCTACAGTCAGACGATACGCTGTTGCGCGGCTGCAGCAAGCGGACGATGAGGTAGAAAGGTTCGAGTCGGACACCGCAGCCCTGAAGTTTCTAAACATGAAGTAAATGTTCTGCCTGTTCTTCTCCAGGACCTGCTGATGTATCTTCTCCAGCTGGTTCAGGCTCTCAAATATGAAAACTTCAGCGAGATCCAAGGAGGCCTGGAGCCAGGGAGCAAGAGACACAGCCAGGGACTTTCAGATGACTCGGCACTGGACAGGTCAGTCCTTGGACGAGGAACTGTTTCGGCTTCTCTACTCTGTGGATCATTAGTTCGTCAACAGATCGCTCCTGCCTCCACTTCTGCCTGGATCTAAATTTATCCCGGTCCTTTGCTTCTTGATTATTTTCCTTTCAGAACCAGTTGTGAAGTCATTGTGTTTAGTGATTTTTGGCTGAAGTTCTGGGCTGTCAGCTGTGGGCAGAGAACTGATGTCTGTTTATTTAAAATCCACACGGTGTCTCATCAGATTTCTGCAGGTCTTAATTCTGTGTCTTCATCCTCATCTTCATCTTCTGTCTTGTTTGCACAGCTCCCAGATTCTTTCCACCACATCTGTTTCCTCCACTGCACCGCAGAAAGGAAAGGACGGAGCTGACAGCGAGAGTCTGGAGGTAAAACAGCACACTTCTTCACAGCAGGTGGACAATCTCCACTCTCTGTTTGTTTTTAAATACTCCGTCATGACCCCAGTGTGTGAAAAAACTCTTCATAGCAGGACCTGTGCACGTTCCTCATCTCCAGAGCTTGTAAGAACTCCACCCTCGCCAACTACCTGTACTGGTGAGTCCAGAACCTGACGTTTCTGACCCCGGTGGTGAAGTCCAGGAACTGAACTGTGTTTGTGCTTCACAGGTATGTCATCGTGGAGTGTGAGGATCAGGACACGCAGCAGCGCGACCCCAAAACCCACGAGATGTATCTGAACGTGATGAGGAGGTTCAGTCAGGCTCTACTGAAGGTCAGCAGATCCAGTCTGCAGTGTCCGTGTTACTGGGTTGTCTGGAACACAGCGTTCCTCAGTCCAGACGTGATGTGTATGAACAAATGATCATGTCATTATCATTGTCATATAACCCTTCATGACATCCTGTCTGGATTACATTTAATTTCCCGTTACAGAAAAAAGGGCCGTTGGACGAGGTCTCTGATGAAAATTACAGTTCAATGACATCACCACTGGTTTATCACATGCCACGTTGGGAACAACAAGTCCTACAAACTGATGAAGGAACTGTTTGACCTGAACTCTAATTTCTTTCAGGGAGATAAGAGTGTGAGAGTGATGCGCTCGCTGTTGGCCGCCCAGCAGACGTTCGTAGACAAACTGGTGCAGCTGATGAAGGCTGTGCAGAGAGAGAGTGGGAATCGCAAAAAGAAGGTAATAGTAGAGAGAAAAAAAAGTCAACATCTGCCCCGTGGATCACAGAGTTTGGACGGGTATTAAACCATTTTTTTGCACTTTTCTCTCTGTGTCTGCGAGCAGGCAGAGCGTTTGCAGGCTCTGCTGGCCGACAACGAGAAGGTGAACCTTTCAGAGATCGAACCGATTCCTCTTCCTCTGGAACCTCAGATCAGGATCAGAGGCATCGTCCCTGAAACAGCAACACTCTTCAAGGTACAAAAAAAGAGTTCTGGTCAGAGCTGCGTTCTCTGATCCACTCTACAGCCCAGAGTTTGTACATCAGCTTGCTGGTTAGCTCCACCCACATTCTTACGAATTCTTCACCACTAGTAAGTTCTTCTTGGACAAAATATTTTATTGGGGAGCCCTCTAGTGGTTAGCCGTGGTACTTATGGCATTTAGCATCTATTACGCCACCTTAAGGTCACATAGCTTTAGTATGGCTTAAATATGCCATACTAAAGCTACATCATCTATGTGACTGAGTAGTTACAGAGATCCCTATCTGCTAGTTGTGGTACTGCACTTAAAAATCCAGTGATGGTTTGTTTACAACGAATGTGACTTCAAATGTTGGCTCCAGGCCAATGATCATTTGTGTGTGATTTTGTGTGTGTGTGTGTGTGTCAGAGTGCACTGATGCCAGCCAAGCTCATCTTTAAGACTGATGACGGAGCCATGTATCCAGTCATTTTCAAACATGGAGATGACCTGAGGCAGGACCAGCTCATCCTGCAGATCATCTCACTCATGGACAAAGTAAGAACTGACTGTTGTTACTGATCTGCTCAGTTGTTGTTGTTTAGACTGTTTTTTTTCCAGTCTAATTCCTGACCTTTGTTTAAGAAAATATAAAGATTAATGTCATAAATTTGACCCCAAATCATTTAGATTTTATTATATTGCGTCTCATTTTGTTTTACTAAAATAGAAAGAAAGGTGAGACTATAGTTGTGACCCAGCTTCCCAAACCTTTGTGTATTTATTTTTTATGTTTTACTAACTCACTTGTTTAAAGTGAAAAGTTTGATTTTTTTGTTTTTTGTTTTAGCTTCTGAGAAAAGAAAATCTTGACCTGAAGTTGACTCCATACAAGGTTTTGGCGACGAGCACTAAGCACGGTGAGACACCACATCACTCTCCATCGAAATGTCCAAATCTAGAAGATAAGATATTTTTTTTAATCTGTTAGTTAACCTCACCTTGGTGGTTAGCAGGGATATAAAGTCTAACTAAAGTTGAACTAAAACTAAAAGTAATACAAGTCATTTTCCAGGTTTCATGCAGTTTGTTCAGTCTGTTCCCGTTGCCGAAGTCCTGGCAACTGAAGTCAACATCCAGGTGAGCAGATGAAATAATGTCCATGAAAACACAAAGCTAGTTCTGTGTCAAATCTAGAACAAATACATCTCAAATTCAACAAAATACCTAGGTTAGTCAGCAAAAAGGTTAGCTTCTGTAGCTAACAATACAACAACTTAGAATCCATATTGAACTATTTTTTGGTCTGTTTTTAATTCACGGACAGAGTTTCTTCAGGAAACACGCTCCCAGTGAGAAGGGTCCGTACGGCATCAGCTCCGAGGTGATGGACACCTACGTCAAGAGCTGTGGTGAGGACTCACAGCTGGACTCAGAGACATACAGAGGAGACACTGTTTGTCTGATGTGGTGTTGTCTCTCATTCTGTCCCTGCAGCTGGTTACTGTGTCATCACCTACATCCTGGGCGTAGGAGACAGACATCTGGACAATCTGCTGCTGACAAAGACAGGTGAGTCACAGACACAGGCTGAGGCCAGAGTCACACCAGAACATCACTGAAGACTGAAGTTCCTGCGTCTCATCACAGGGAAGCTCTTCCACATCGACTTCGGCTACATCTTGGGTCGAGACCCCAAACCACTGCCTCCACCTATGAAGCTGAGTAAGGAGATGGTGGAGGGGATGGGAGGCATGCAGAGCGAGCAGTACCAGGAGTTCAGGAAGCAGTGCTACACCGCCTTCCTACACCTGCGCAGGTGCAACTGCACTCATTTTGATCAGAAATTCTAATGGCTTCTAGTGTTTTTTTGAACTGACCATAAATTAGTGGCTGAATGGGTGGTTAACTTCTTTGTCTTCTTTGTTCAGATACTCCAACTTGATCTTGAATCTGTTCTCTCTCATGGTGGACGCCAACATCCCTGACATTGCCCTGGAGCCTGACAAGACTGTTAAAAAGGTGACTATGTTACAGATCTGAAATGAGAAAAGGATCTGGAGCTAAAATTACAACCTTGAATTTCACTGTTGCTCGGGTCAACAGTTAAACAGTGATTGACATTGGTGTTGTCTGTAACGTTGGTGCCTTCAGGTGCAGGATAAGTTTCGATTGGACCTGTCAGATGAGGAGGCTGTTCATTACATGCAGGGTCTGATAGACGAGAGCGTGGGAGCGCTGTTTGCTGCGGTGGTCGAGCAGATACACAAGTTTGCACAGGTATCAACACACGCATACACACAGTATACAATATTTTTTCCCCAAAATGGCATTATTACAAAACCTGTTAATAGCCAGACAGTCAAAACTATGTTTTTTTTTAAGCTAAGAAAAGACTATCTGGCAGAACAAAAGTGTTTTTTTTTTTGTTTTTTTTAGAAGTTAACAAATGTTTGGTATAGTAACGATGTGTAAAGGCCACACAACAGCTAAATAATAACAATGTCATCGGGACGAGCTTTTCTCATCATTGTGGAAACGAGTTGAAACCAGATACAGTTTTAATCCGGTACATTATACAGTAGACTGAACCTGTACTCACCCACATGAGATGTCATACGATCAAAGTAGTGATAATGACGCCTCTACTGTTCTAGAAAAAAGTCAGCCCAGAGTATCTTCATCCACAGCTGAATCCGGCACTTTGAGTTGATGCCAACAGACTGTACTAGAATGAACATTAGGTGAAAGTACAACAACAGCATCACAGCTTTTCCTCAAAATAGGGCCAAAGGCTAGCTGTATAATTAGCATTGTAGCTGAAAGACAGCTGTAAAAGCAAAATGGATTAGGATCATTGCTGAATGTTTACTCACACAGTCAAATCATAGAATTGCTATAAATACTTAAAATTACACAGTAGAAGTGGCCGTGAAGGTTAATCTAAACTGCAATATGAAACTCTGCTTCCTGTTTGGTTCCAGTACTGGCGTAGATGAGAAGACTCTGGTCGACCAGGACACAGGGGCTCCTGAAGGTTGGTGGCAGCAACAGAGAGCTGACCCCACAGCTCAGACCTGACCCCACGCAATGAGCGAGTGACTGAAGTGAAGAAACTCAACAACACTGTTAAAGAGGCCAATAATGCACTGCCAACTTTGACTGCAGGGTGGCGATAGCAGGGACGAGCTGAGCCCTGTCTGCTGATGTATATATGATGTATATTAACTATTGAATGGATGGAAGCCTACGGCCAAATAAAGGAGTGATGATACCACACAACTGCTGCTGCTCTGTGCTCTTTGCTGTCCAGAGAACATGCTGCCATACACTGTTTATATCCTTTAGTAATTGACCAGTGCTAAACATCTGGGAATGGTCACACAGGGTGACCCTGGGGGGTACAAATGAAGCCGAAAAGCCCCCCTTTACCCCCCAACCAGGGGTTAGATGAGTCAGAGTGAATGACTAAGCATTTCCTGCCAGGCACAGAGCAGGCAGATATCTTACTAATGAACAGTTGATTCTATCTGACACTTGTACAGCAGTGGTCAACATCTGAGGGTCAGGAACTGGAGAGAGAAGTTGGTTCAAACAGATCCAGACTGGAGAACAGTTTAAACTAAACCAGTCAGAAATCTGTCCAAAGACTCTGCTGTTCAGACTGGTCTCTGTGTCTCCAACAGCTCTGACCAGTTTCATCATCATATCTTTGTCAAGTGTTGAGCTGTGTGACCTTTGTGACCTTTGACTTGGTCAGAGTTTTAATGAAGCATTTTCAAATCAGAGCAAACCTCACATTTTTGACCAAACTTGAATGGAAACCTGTTCAGATGATTGAAGCTCATCAACTGGTTCTGATCTAGAATTCTCTGATAGAGACACCACTGAAGAAGAGAGCAGACAGAGATTTGGGATTTTATACATACAATATATATGTACAAAGACCTTTCTTATCTCTCTGAAAACGTCCAGCAGTCAGTAGAATAACACAGCAACACTGTTGTCCAATAAGAATCTTGGTTTTTCTGCCTCCTGTGTCTGGATGCTGAGGCAGCAGCAGCTGGATTCCTCTAGTCAGGTGTTCCTCAACTCCAGTTTTAGATTCATACATTCATCATCATCCCACAGTGTTTATTCATAGAAGCCATGGCAGTGACCCCCCCCACCTCCACCCCCCATCTCCTCCCAGGTCTCAGTGGACTCTGGAAACAAACAATGCTGGACAGCCAAACCGCATCAACCTCTGCTGCAATGGAGCAGAAATCTGCCAACGCCAGCAAATCAGGAGGCAGGAACGGGAAGATGTCAGGATGTTACGTACTGGTTTTCACGAATGAGGTATCTGTGACGAGCAGGTGCACCAGTGAGGGGCAACTGAGAGGAGTCACATGACACAAGAATCCAACCCTATATCACTTTGGCTGAGGCACAACGTGGCACGAAGATTCAACTGGACGTGTGGGAGAAGGTTCTGAAGTTTTCTTGGTTCCTGTTTATTGACTCCATGGTTTGGAGCAGCTTCTTGAAAGGCAGCGAACCCCAGCAGGAAAGGCAGAGGGCAGAACCAGAACCAGATTTAGATCTGTCACAGAATCCATCAACGTGCACATGCAGAGAAGAACAGCTTCTTCTGGACTCCTCACATAAACTATTTCTGCTCCACTGGTAAAAATCACTCATCAGTCCATTCTCTGACATTATTCATGCAGCACTATGACTCACTTTGGACTCGGTCACAACCTGAAAATGTGCTTGTACGTTCACATTTTGCACAAACAGCTCATGAAACATTAGTTTTTGCTCCTTAATCTTTCTGTTCACGACAATAACCCGAGTTTGGAAACTGGAGAACCTGTAGAACTGTGGACAGACAGACCAGGGATCTAACCAGCGACCCAGTGACATGGGTCACAGTCTGTGACACTGATGCCATTGACCTGGTCATCAAACAAATGCTCCTGGTCATGGTGTACGCAGCATGCTCCGCCATGTTAGATGAAGACTACCATATTGACGTATGTCCCAGAGTCCAGCCCAGGTGGACGTATGTATGTGAGCAGTCTGTAGACTGACAGACGTGACCCTGACAACGTTTGACTTCTCTGCTCTGCAGCTCAAATCAAACCTGTTCAAAGCGTCAATATAATTCCATCAATAATGTTGCACACTTTGTCATTTAAGTTCACAAAGCAACAACAACAGAAACAGTTCAGTTGGTCAGTAAAACAGTGTTACCTTGTTACCTATTCTGTTTTATTAAAATAACATCATCACCAAGTTTGATAAAAATAAATAAGTAAAGAAAAAACCTTTTTAAAAGCCTTGTAACACACACAGCATCAAACTTCTCTCTTTCCCCTTCTTTTCTCTGATATGATTGGTTGACTGCCACTTTTGTTCAATTCTCCAAAACATTCCCTTTAACAGAAATAAATTTGTTTTTCACGTTTTCCTTTTTTACCTTTCATTAGGCTCCCACTAATGTAGATGTACCAATCTTTCTTCACACGATGGATTTTCTCGTGTTTCCTCAGGGTAACCATTTGCTGAAATGTTTAAGTACAATCTGAATGACAAAAATTCACACTGGCAAGAGTTTCTTTCCGAGGTGAACTATTTTGTGCAGAATTATAGTCAGTAACTGTAATTCAACTCTACTTCAACTCAAAACACTTTTATGTTATAGGCCTGCATGAATTTTACGCCTTAAGTGAACCTTTTTGGTTCGTCATGGCATCCATTCCATCTTATACTCAACCCATTTGCTGACATCATTTGCAGTGGTCATCTGTTCTCCACCTTGATGTTTTGTTCCTGTACTAATTTCTTGATTTGACAATTTCCTTCAAACTCAGACTGAACTCTTGTGGAAACCGTTAAGACTCAGAGCAATTGTGTGGTTTCTTGCCTGCAATAATTTTGCCGCAATCCACCTAACCAAGTTTTGCAGAAATCCTTAATCGCACATAAACACCAAGTGACGGGTTAGTCACCTGTGTGCATTTTTTCATGTTTCCTTAGATTGCCAACATACCGAAAATATTTGCCACACTTGGAGCATACATAGGGTTTCTTGCCAATGTGAATTTTCTCATGCCTCCTAGCACTGTTGCAGTGTCTAAATCTTTTACCACACTCAGCACAAACAAAAGGTTTCTCACCTGTGTGAATTCTCTCATGATTCTTCAGATCATCTATTCGCTGAAATCTTTTGCCACACTCAGAACAATTAAATGGTTTTTCTTCTGAATGAATTTTCTCGTGTCTCCTCAAAGTTCTGTTTTCCTGAAATCTTCTACCACACTCAAAACAACTATAGGGTTTCTCCTTGGTATAATTTTCTTCATGTTTTCTCAAATTCGATTTGAGCCTGAATGTGCCACCACACTGAGAACTATATATTTTCTCTTTTGTATGAATTGTCTCATGAGTCTTCAGGTGAGATTTGAGCCGAAACATCCTCCCACATTCAGAGCAACTGAATGGTTTCTCTCCTGTATGAACTGTCCCATGCGTCCTCAGACTTCCCATACAGATAAATTTTTTTCCACACTTGGAACAACTAAATGGTTTCTCTCCTGTATGTATTTTCTCATGTTTACTCAGATGAGATTTGTACCCAAACCTTTTACCACACAGAGAACAACAAAATGGTTTCCCTCCTGTGTGAAATTGTTCATGTGTCTTCAGATGAGATTTGAGCCTAAATGTTTTGCTACACTGGGAACAACTAAATGGTTTTTCTCCAGTATGAATAGTCAAATGTGCCTTTAAATTGAAGCTCTGCCTAAATCTTTTACCACAATGGGAACAACTAAATGGTTTCTCTCCTGTGTGAATAGTCATATGTGCTTTTAGATTAAAGCTTTGCCTGAATCTTTGTCCACACTGAGAACAACCATATGGTTTTGAGGATTGCGGTTCTTCTTCATCTCCATTGATCTTCACAGTCTCAACAGCGCCATCAGTCCCATCCTGTGGGATGTGCAGTTCCTCCCTTTCTTCTTTAACCTGAAACCACTCTGTCTTCTTCTGATCCGCAATGGTCTTCCAGTTCTGGTGCTCAGGGGAAACTTCTTGTTTAATCAGCAACAGCAGCCCATCATCTACAGGACAATGGAGGAGACTTTAAAGCAGAGCTTTAGCACGTGTACGAGGCGTTGCATAAAACCACTGCACATGGGGAGAAAACTCAAGCCCACACTGTTTTGATCTCGCACAAGGCTTAATTTGATCAAACATACAGGTGCAGCCTGACTTCATGGAAGTATTAACTTTTGCTCACTTTCAGAAGTGAGCTGTCCAACAGAGGGACATGAAATACATTGTTGGTTAGACAGTGACAGATGACCACACCAGTCTGTGCCAATCTGTTGGCATCAAAGGCGACTAATGTTTGTCTGGATATCTTTATTTTAATGTCCAGAGTTGATTCTGGTTGATGCTTCCCTCACCAGTTTTACCTCTCACACTAAAATCTAAAAAAAGCTTTTCATTTTTTAGTCAATAAAGTTGTCTATTCCTTACTGTTTTCAGCCACACAGGAGTCATCTTTAGAAGTTTGTCTTAAATCTCCATCTTGATTCAAGTTCCTGGATGATTCTGGTGCCCAGAGGTCTTCTTGGTTCTTCCCTGGGGGGCTCTGATGAAGGAGCTGTATTGAATTATGTCTGTCTTTCTCTTCTTCAGTCGTTATGTTTGGGACAGTGGTACCAGCCTCCTTCTCTTTGATGTATAGTTCACTTTTTCCCTGCTTAGTGTGAGGGCATTCTTCTTTATCAATGAACTGCTGGTCAGCTGCAGCAGAAAGGAAAAAAACTTTTTTTAAAACTGTCATAAACAAGCTGCACTGGTGAAAAGCAGAACTGTTTGTATGACTACAGCTGGAAGTCAGTTGATTAACTAAAGATGGTTAACAACTGATCAACAACGCACAGATCTGACAGGATTTACACAAAAACCAGGAAAAACAGTCACATGGTCTTATTGACTGGTGGATGGAGCTCTTTCACCCAGCCACAGAGCCACAGAGCCAAACTGGTAACAAGTTAGTCTGCTAATTGAAGATCTATCTAAATGTGTGTCATTATTAGATCAGTGTTACCTCTTACATCACTGAAGTTTATTTTAGGTCTTTCACTCTTCAAATGTGTTGTGTCAACCATCCAATCGTCACTGTCCTCAGTCCCACAGGAGTTGTCGTCGTCGTCGTCATCTCCACTCCACTCCATCTTAACGACCTCTTCTTTCTCTACTGCAGAGGAAGAAACTTAGGAACTACAAACTCATATTTTCACATTTTCTTTTAAAAAATGCACCAGTCACTAAAATCATCATTTGGTATATACTTTAACACTTTGCAAAAGACAAACAGAGGGAAATCTGATTATTTATGTTTGTTGTTAACAAAACTTGGCCTACAAAAGTTTTACAAAAGTCAGAATTAAAATAAAAAAAGGTCCAGCTCAGTCAACCCTAAAAAGGTTGACTGAGCTGGAGTTTTCAACATGATATACTAGCCCTATTCCAATATTGTATCACACCTGCACTCATTTCCGTTTCCTATTTTACGTGACCTTGTGTATTTGCATACGTTCAAAAGTAAATCAATTCGTCTTCAAATATGCAAAAAGAAACACGCAAGCTTTTATTTTGACAACATACCAAGATGGCGGCCGTGGTGAAGATCCACATTCAGTTCAGCGGCTCGATCGAAATGTCCGTGAACGCACCAGGTGGTCGATTTATTTTGGACTGAAGGGCGGCCATGTTTGATTTGTTATTCCGCAGTAACATTACATCTGCTGTACCGCCGGCAGTAAGTTACACATAGGTGTGGTACACAATAAAACTTATCATGAAGTACACCAACGCGTCACCTGTACTCCGACAAAGAGCGCGTTTATGACACATTTCAGCATAGTTACCGTACTACAGTGTCGTCTGGTCTTTCATTGTCAGCGTCACCACGTCAGGGAGACGAGAGATGTGACGTTCAGGAACGAACCTAATCTATTGATCAGCTCTGTGATAAAATAAAGGATAAGCACAAGACTCGGTCTTATAAGTAAAAACCGAATTCATTCATTGTCACCCTCAAATACACCCACTCATTCAAGTACACCTCTTCGCAGAAACCCCGGCCATGCCTCACACTATCAAAATAAAAGCACCGGATTTACAATATTTCACTAAAATGTTTTTATACTGTTATTTTCTCTCATGTTGTACAAACCTCTTTAGTTAATTTGTTTAAAGCGCAAAAAATATTTTATTTTTCTCATGTGCAATATTCATCGTTCTTTTAGCAACGTTTTATTTCCTCGTGTACAACATGGCCTTATAACAGTAACGTCCCTCTGGGTCGATCTCTGCACTTCTACCAAAAGGCCTTTTGTTTTTGCTGCTCAAAACTACACTTTTTACTCTGTCGTTAGCTGGGTGATGGACTTTTGACCATTGCCCACTAGGTGGAGATGTTGCTAAAAGATGAAAATCTCCCGTCAACGTATTTTATATTTAATCCAGCAATGACTGAGTGACTGATTAACTTAAAACAGTTAGGACATTCAAACCCACAAGATGACAGAACAGTTGTGAACTCAAATCACCAAGACCTCAAACATCGGCTCTAACCACGCGTTCACTCAGCTTTTCCAGCAGTGAACAGACGAAGAGAAATGAAACATCCAAACTGCAGTCTATCTTTTTATTCAATGCCATGTTTAAATAATAAGAATCTGTACATCTCTCGTTCCCAGAGAAAGTGTGACATCAATAGCCTCCTTATCAGGATCAGTAATACAGATGAAGTGCGTTTTCAGGCAACCAGAAGGGCTGACAGTTTATACAGCAACAAAAACAGCTCATAGGAATGATGTAGTGCACGCACACTCGTACACAAACATGCACGCACGCATGTACACACCTCAGCAGTGCACTATAAGACATGAACCCAAAACTGCCTGTTCATTCAAAAACAGCACCAAACATAAACAAAAAAAATCTTAACATCAATAATACAAAGCTTTACATTCCTCACTTTCCCATCAGTCATAGGGATCTTTACATCTGCACATTTACAGCCTCTGACTGGCTGTGTCCTGAACTGAAGGCTTCACATGCTGATCAGTGCTGGACCCAGCCAGTCAGGCAGCAGTCATAGGCACAGCTAACACCCTCAGCCCAGCAGAGGGCGACACACTCACAGTCAACAGCAATGACACAAGCTCCCTGTCCTCTGTTTTCACAGCTGGTCTAACAACATCCAGGTCTTCAGTGGGTTTCAGACTCTCCACCAGGAAGTGTGTCTGCAAAAGAAGCAGGTTATTGCTGTATATAAAACAAATCTGTGCAAACGTTCGGACGACTCACTTCACTTCACTTCTAGGGAGCCTGAGGAGCAGGTCTTTACACAGGTCTTTAATAATGTGTGGTTTTGGTATAGAAGAGTCAGAGTCTAAGTTCCAGCCCCCGGCAAGGTGAGACCCGGCTGCAGGCCTGTGGTGGTCGTCGTGGTGGACGTGGGTGAGGAGGCCACTGGAAGAGCCTTCGGGCCCGGACTCAGCAGTCCATGTGTAGCTGTTTGGTCGCCGTTCAGGTTTTTGTAGGGGTTCCTGCGCGGTGGAGCTCGGAGACACATAGAAGGGAAACGGAGGCCGGCAAGACAGCAGCCCGGACAGGAGACGACCTCCTCCTGGTCTAGAGAGTGGCCGCTGCTGGAGCCGAACGGGGAGGAGCCGGCGGGGTCGTCGGGAGGGCAGTGGTAACCGTTGTTGTTGGTGGCTGTGGTGTCGTTGGTGACCGAGGTGCTCCAACCCAGCGGTCGACTTATGACCACATTGTTGTTGTCAAGGTGAGACAGCGGCGGCAGGCACGGAGGCCCGTTGGAGATCACCGACCCCCAGCCATTAGAGAAGGCAGTAGGGGAGTCATCCTGGATGGGGGTGGAGAAGTGAGAAGGAGGAGAGGACTTGGAGTAAGGAGAGGAGGTGCTGCCTTGTGTGTCCGAGGAGCTAAGGCAGTCCATTGGTTCCTCTTCTTTTTCATCCTCCTCCTCCTCTTTTTCTTGGTCCAGCAGGTCCAGGGACAGAGGAATACCTGAGTCACCCAACAGGTGAGTTCCACTCTGTCCTAACAGTTCTGCCTCCTCCTCCAAGTCCTCCTCATCCTCACCTTCTCCATTCATCTCACAGTTACTCTCAGTCTGTGACAGCTCCTGATCAGGGCCAGTTTTCTGCACAGACGTGAGGTGCGGAGGCGGCGTGCAAGGCAGCGAGTGACAGCGCCTGTGCCTCCTCTGCAGATCGGACGACACGTCCATTGTCTCAGATGTGGACGTGTCTTCACAGTCTGGGGGAGGAGGCAGGGTGAAGGTCAGGGATATGACCGACTTGCTGGGGGTGTCGAAGAGCTTGATCTTGCCTCCTTTCAGGTCCTCCCTCTGAGAGAAGGGGTTGACACGAGCGGGCGTCGCCTGGTTCTCAGAAGGAGGAGAGTCCAAGGGGTGCAGCATGTCAGACTTACTGCGGGAAAGGCGAGGGTCTGAGGGGAGGCAGAGGGATCGTCTTCGCACAGGGCCAATAGGGACTGCTTTGAGGGGAAAAAATTAAGAATTTTAATTTTTCAGAAACAAATTTGAGTCAACTTAGGCGGCGACAGATGACTCACATTTCACCGCCTGATCATCTTTTGGTTGCGTTTCAGCCTGTCGCTCCTCCAGCCCTACTACAATTTCAGAAAATGCTGGGCGCAGCATTGGACTCATCTGCACAAACAGGAAAAGTCAAACTGAACAGCAGCATCATGGACATAAATATGATTTTACTGATTTATTTATTGACTTTAGTTTTTTTATTGCTAAACTTAATACATTAAAAATAGTCTGTCAAAAACAATAAAGAAACCAAAACAATGTGACGTTAATACAATGTTATACATATTTACAGGCCAACCTGCAGCAGCGTGAAGACAACAGTGGGAGATTACTGATAAAATCAAACTTCTTACATTACAGCAGCTGAAGGCCAGTTGCAGAAAATGTGACGGACAGTCTGGCACCATCTGCTGGAAGGTCTCTCTGTCCAGACCAAAGTCCTGCAGCAGTAACAGATTTACAGAGAGTTCAAGTTTAAAATATCAAAAACAGATTCAATGGTGAATACAGAGATCACCTGAGGTCAGTTCAGCACCACAGCTTTGGAACAATGCTCAGATTTGAAGTTTGACACAGAGTTGATGAAACATCAGATGTTATATCTCGAAGTGAACACAAGGAGGCGAAATGCTTCTTTTGCAGCAGCACAGGTATTAGTGGAGGGTTTTGGAGAGCTTTGGAGAACTTCTCTTTTTGAATAGACTGTGTCAACAGGAAATGGTGCAACATGTGCTAACAGATCAAAATAACCAAAACACGAAACTAATGAAACAGAATTTCATAATATGGAAACTTTCCAGTAACTGATATAAATCTGCAGCTATTTGGCAACCATCAGCAGTCTCTGCAGGTGGCTGATAACAACAATCTGTTAATGAAAGGAACTCTTTGGTGACACGTGAACACATCTGTCTGAGGACTTGCTGACTAACTTGTGTTTATTCATGTAAAATACAATCAGCATGTGGCGGTCATGGAGCTTTAAGCTGCAGCACTGCTAGTTATCAGAAGAAGTGCAGACAGCAGGGTTAGCTGAACTAGCGTAGCCTAGTCAAACCTCTGACTATTGTTGGTAGTGAACCTTTTAATTCTTGTCTCTTTAAGTGAATATGTAAGACAAGAGAGTTGTGGATTTAAAATGTGTTTCTGATGTTTTTCAATAGAGGTGTGCAGCTCTATACAGCAGTGAAGCCCTGGGCTGTAGTTAGCACGTCATGCTTAATGTTTACTCTGGGGAACAGCAAACAGGAGAGCAGCTCTTTTTCTATGATCAATAATATACCCTGAGGGAAACAAATGAGGAGATGATGAGACCGACACCGTCCTCAGGTGTTCAGTGATGAGCAGGTGATGAAGAGGAGAGAATGAGAGTGATGAACACATGACCATACATACTGCAGTGCGTGGCAGGAAGTCAGGGTCAGCTTGTACTCTGGCGATGACCTCGCACAAGATGATGCCGTACGCAAACACATCCACCTGTGGTGAGGAAAACCACACAAAACATGAAGACATGACGCAGTGTGTGAGGCACAATCACATGACCTTTTTCTGAAATATAAAGGCTCACCCTAACAAAATATTTACAGAAAAAATGTACATCAAAATACACCAAAATGAAAATACAGCATGCAAGTGAGAAACAGAAAACAGTAGAACATCTTGATACGAAGACGTTGTAGATAACAGTTCCAGTGGTTTTAACTTATTACCAAGAAACTTAGTTAGATTTTAAAGTGGTTTTAACTTATTACCAAGAAACTCAGTTAGATAGCAGAAAATCAATGAAACAAACTCTCAAGCATAAAAATTTTAATTAAAAAAAACCCACAATCAAATATGGAAATAAGCAGAGCTGCGATGCCTTCACCTCCCCAAGAAAAAGTTTAATTGCTGCAAACAAAGCATAAAAATAACCAGAAAAGACAGTGATGCCGTCGCTGTTCTAAGATAAAGTTATGTAGCAGCAGTGAGCCAGTGATGCCTTCAATGCCCTGTCTTGTTGGCATGTACCCATCAGTGTCAATTAATTGGTGCTTTTTCTCCACAGCTATGAAGTTCATAATATCAGCATGTTTCTGTCTAATATAGGAGGAATATATAATATAATACTGTATAATATAGGTGTATTATATAATGAGGTAACAAACCCGTGGTCACTCAACAGTAACACGACCGACTTCCTTTGATTCATTTATTGAATATTTCTTGTTATGTCTGGTTTTTCTCTCGCCGCTGTGGACGTTGACCTCAGCTGCTAACTATCTGCTGCTGAAAGGAAACAAAAAAACACATCACCTTTTCATTATACACCTCTCCCCGAAGCACCTCCGGAGCCATCCAGTACGGGGAACCGACAATAGCAAGTGGTTCTTGGTCCTCGTTTTCACTACACAAGAGGGAAGATGAAAAGATTTGAATTAATTAGTCTGAATAAGCAAAACCTTTTAAATAAATATTAAAATACAGATTTAATGTCAAACATAACGTTTTTATATCTTACCATTTTTAGTCGTCATGAAAAACTTCAGTTCCAGTGAAATATCTTTTAACTACAAGGCTAGCCAAGTTATTGTTCTGGTTATTTCAACTACTTCTACTTGACACCTTTGACAGCTACAGTATTTCAGCTGTCCTTTGGCATTGCTAATATTTAGCTTTCTGCAAATACTCACCATCTATTTAGCTAGCCGTGACTCAGCTCTTTAAGCTGACATTCTGTTTTTGGATTTACACGGCTTGTGGTAATTTTCTTTATGTGTAAGAAATGTTGATGCTTTCAATGACATTCAGAGAAATAAAATAAATAAAATGTTGTTTGTGTTTTCACTAGTATCTAAGTTCGCTTTCACTTCCCTCGTATCTTAGAAACCACTGTGTTTTTCATTTATCTGTAGTTAATGGTTGTGAAATCTAAACTCATTAAAAGGAAGGAAGACAAGAATGTGCAAGGACACACACACACACACACACTTCCTCTCTGTGCTATTTACATCAGCCACTGTGGGCTAAGATACTGCAGAAATTACAAGCAATGTGGTACAGCAGAGGGAGAAATACGACACAGTGACATGGAGGAACTCCAACATAAACAACAATTGGAGAAGTGGAGCAACAGAGTCAGAAAAGAAGGAGGAAGAGGAGGAGGAGGAGGAAGAGAGAGAGGCAGGCTGCTGACAAAATAATAAGGGAAAAGAACAACAACAATGATGGAAGTTTAGAATTACGAATGGATAACAGCAAAGTTTTACAAACATAACTGTGTCATAGTTTCTTTTTATAACATTATATGTCCCTGTAAAACCGATTGGTCAAACACGCACAACATAATATGGGCAATAACATGACAAAAGCAAAGAAAAAGGTTTCCCAGAAGACAACTTAAAGCCTAAACTTGAGAGTTAACCAAAAGCTTAGGCAGCAAAATATGCATAAATGTTGCCCTGAAAAAAATAAAAATCAGTTTTAAACACGCGATTATAAAACACCCATCTTAAAAAAGAATACGTTTAACTAGAATCTGAAAATTAGCAACAATAATCTAAGTTAGCCAAGAACATGGCTAACATGGTCATAGCCAAGGACAGAAAGAAAAAAATCAAAAACAAAACAAAGACAAATAAATCTAGGTCTAAAAATAGCCCACAAGACAAAGGTAGTTTTAGTTCCAAGTTCCAAGTTCAAGCCTTGAACAAACCACAATTTAGGCAAATATACAAAAATAAAAGCCAGACAATATCTTTATATTTAACACAATTACTCAAACTCAAAAAGGTTTTTTCCCCCACACTGGAGCCTGGATTGATAAGACCAGGAGACAGTCGGTGAAACACAGGCAGCAACAGGGCTGGAATAGTTTGACCTTATTTGGAATGATTTTCCCAAACCCTCCTTCCTCTCCCCTTCCCTCTCTCCCACCGTCTCTCCTACCTCTCTCCAACACAAACACACGAGGATTCACCACAAGTCAACACGTCTTTTCTGCTACAACAGGACACAAAGGTGTTTGTTCATACCAACTGTCAGCTGCTGCGCTCCGAGGGACAACAGACGCTGTTCACACAGAATCTAGAATATTCACTTCAAAACAACACATTCAAATTGTGAACAACAAAGTTCTACAAAATAATTGGAATGTGTGCAAAGTATTGTGGACGTAAGAACTAAGCCTATCTTAGCATAGCGCCACTTAGCATGTAATTTGTTAGCTTAAGACACAAACACCATCCTACAAACAGCCGTTAGGGTTAGCAATTAGCTGCTTTTGCCAAAAATAAAACATCGACTACTACTAAAACATTGTTTTGCAACATTTTACAATTTCTTGTAAACATTGTACGATTTCTACAATATTAGTTTTCTAAGATATTTTGTGCTAAATTTAAATGAAGAATTAAGCAAAGTGTTCATTGAACCATTTTTTTCTATCAGTTTCTACTGTAGGCTAGTAGGCTAACCTAGCCCTTAGCTACAGTATGTGTCACATGCTATTTTAGATTATAAGCTCCCATTAAGATTTAGATTTCTGCCCAACTACAAGTAGAAAAAAATGTTTTTTCCACTATACTTTTGCCAAAGTATTTTTATTTCGTTTTGGCTTGCTAAGGTCCAGGCATCACCTCAGCGCTACAGTGTACGTTGGTCAGTTCCTCGTGTGGTCAAAATGAAGTGAGGAATTGTTTTTATTGCAGTTTGTTTGTGTTTCCAGGACAATCTATTCTTTTGTTTGTAAGGAAATGAAGCGTTGGATAAACAGAAGGAACTCGGGAATTTTTCACCTGCATTGAAGTTAATTTTCTCAGCAGGGTTTCAAAGTAGCTTTATGACTGTGCATGACCTACATCTGCAATGTGTTAATGTCAAATAAAAAGAACTCCTCCGACGTGTCGTCACTGGAAACCCAGCTGGAGGAAATAAAACCTGTACGTGAGCGTGGTTGTAACGTTGTCATTTATGGTGTGAAAAGAGGCCAGTGGTGAATTGATGGCATAAATGTCAGAGCACATTAAACAGCAGCACAGCTGCAAACACACAAGGAGCCATGAAGAGACTCGGCGGTGAGTCAGGGCCGCTGACGGTCGAGTCAAACCCTGACGACACCTCGGTGAGTCCAGTGGCCTCATCGCTGAGACTCCTGGTCGCTCCACTGGTACTAACAATATAAAAATTTAAATTGCTCCACTGGGAGTCTGATGAACCACAGCATGTGGAAAAAGCTGAGTGGACTTTGTTTCACCAACAGGAGCCAAAATCTCCAGGCTGCTGTGGGTTTTACTCAGAGGTGATGACTTTCACAAAACACACACACACACACACACACACACACACACACACTGTCAGATGGGCTAATTTAAACTATGGTTTCCCAGAGCCTTTTAACAGAAACGCAAGAAATGCAGCCTCGAACAACTACAGAGCCTCTGCTTGCTTTTTATTTTCAATTCTTACTGGAAGCCAAAATGAAAATAGAGCACGTGGTCACACTTTGAGCTCAGGTAGATTGCCTTGTCCGGCCTATTATACTTTCTTGAAACATAATCAAAATAAAAATGTTTATTACGTTTTGTCGTTGGAATGTCATGAGGATGTGGAGGGATGAGTAGATTAGATAGAGCTGAGCAGAGTCATTGATTGAGTTTGACTAATCCAATCACCACAGGTTGATCAAAGGGACTGACCTGTAATCTGGGATTTTCTCTGCCAGGCCAAAGTCTCCCACCACGGCTGAGCACACACTGCCCTCCCAGCGCACCAGGCAGTTCTGCACACACACACACAGAGAGAGAACCAGAGGTGAAACGTCTGACTGACCTTTAGCCGTCTGTCATTAAACAAAAATGGCTGCCAGGGTGAGAAATGAACAGAAAATGGATTAAAAAGAGTTCAGATCAGATTTAACTTTGGGTCAAATGTCTGAAGCAATAACATGTTGACACTGATGTGTTGACATTGCAATGTTTATCATTAGTTTGTCTCTGCTAAAATACTGGAGGTCAACAACTGTAAAGAGGGCTACAAATCCAGACCTTTTAGGTCATGTACAATACCCATACGTATGTGTGTGTGTGTGTGTGTGTACACTGCAGTGTGGGCTTCCGTCTGTCACCTTTGAGGTCAGGTCCCGGTGGAAGATGCCCTTACTGTGCAGGTACTGCAGCCCACGGGCGATGTCCAAGGCCAGGCTGAGCCTCACGCTCCACGACAGGTAGATGTTGCTGCTCAACAGCTGCTCCAGGTTTCCACCATTAATGAACTGTGTCCACAAAGTAAACACACAAACACAGCACTGGTATTAGTGAAGTACACAGGGTACGTGAGGTACACGCAGCAGCTGCTGACACGTCAATGATTAGACTGATGACACGGCACGAGATTTGAACTCTAATTCATTTTGACTCTGATTTATACTGAACTGCTCAGATCGTTTCAGTTTGATTCAAATGACTTCAACAACCACAGCAGCATTAGCATTAGCTTTGAAAAGACTTTTTTTTCCCAACTGAAACAGAAGTCGAGCACAGTATGAGACGTCAGCCAAATGAAAACTGTAGAAATGACCAGAACATTACACACACAGTATCAACATGAAGCATCAACAGCAACAACGACAGAGGTGTGTGGCACTAAACACAAGACAAACTCTGGAAACAACACATCTATCAGAAAATTCAAACATCCATAGCCAAATTAAAACATAAATATGTTCAAACAATAATACTTTGTTGGCACAGGAAACACAGGGAGTCAGGAACCACACATGATGGTTGAATTATTTTATTGCGAATAGATGAAAATGTTTGTGTTTTTATTTTTCGGGCATTTTTTTTTTGAGAATATTGATTTTTCTATCAATTTGAATAGTGGAAAACACACATTATACCTGTACTTCCCAATGTTTGTCCCCTTTTGTAGATGAGCCTGTCGCCAAGCTCCATCGCTGACGTAGCCACGACTATTTCTTCAAATTTCCACTGTATTTTAAACATTTCTACAAAGAAATCTGCTTTTCTCACTGAATAAATGAGATCAACTTAAAAATGAGTGAAACTGTGGTACAATTGAAGAACTGAAATCTGGACTCATTTTTTCCTACTACGACCCCCTCTGTTAGCTTTGTGGCCCCTTAGGGGGAGTACCCCTCACTTTGAGAATCAATGGATAGTTTTGTTGGGGTTTTATATTTTTTTATTTGAGATATATGATATTAAGACCAACTTCTTCTGCTGCTTTTATATTAAAGAAAAAAGAACATGGAGAAAGTACTGGAACTCTTACCTCAGTGAGAGCGTGGAGTTGACCCTCATGGACACACACTCCAATAAACCTGGAGTGTCACAAAGACAAAACACTGGAGTGTCACAAAGTAAACAAGGTTTACAACTTTTCTTGCTACATTGTGGCTAAACTGGAACAGAGTGTGGTGAACCTTCTTGGCTAAGTTGTGTCATCGGGATCTAAATTTCAGGAATTATTTTTGCATCTTTTTTTTTGTGATGCTACCATTTAGTCAGAAATATAGCAAAACAGGCTAATAGTTAGCAATAAAACGAGATAAATTAAGTAACCACGAATATTGTAAAATAAACAAAGATCTGTCAAAAATAGATAAGGTTGGCTAAATGTTAGATGATAGTATTAAAAACACCAAAGAAAGAGACAAAATGTAAGCTATATTACTTCTTTTTGTTTCCAATTCCTGCTCACCAGAGTTGTGTCAGGGCTGTTTTTTTTTTGTTTTTTTTTATTTACCTGAGAATGTTTGGATGAGACATTCGGTTCATGAGCTGGACCTCCCTGAGCATGTTGGCTCTGTTACTGGCCAGGATGTTCATCTTCAGAGCCATCACCTGCCCTGAGACACGGTGCTGCACCTGGAAGGAGAAAAAGAAAAGAGTGAAATTGTTTCAAAAGTACATTTTTGACATAACAGATGAAGAAAAGGTTTTGGGGGAAATTATGCAACACAGCAGTGGGAAAGAAAAACAGGAATAAAAATAAACGTAAAAAACGTACGCTGGTCCCACTTCTCATAAACACAGATGATACAGAGCAATATTTTAAATGTATTTAAAGCGTTAACTTTAGAGATTATTTTAGTTCTCAGTTTAAATTTAGATTTTAGCTTTTTGCTATTCTGAGTGAGCACATTTCCTCATGTTGTAACTGTTCATTCTTGTGTTTTTGTCTGGAGAGTAAAAAACGTAAGTCTGACTGTGTTGTACTGTGATATACTGTGATATTGGTTGTTTTTCTTTTGGCCATGAAGCATTACTGGGTCAGCCCAGTTTTGTTTAACTGTTTGGCTGCTTCCCTGCTGCCACCTGTTTCTATGGCAGTGTTGCCGCCTCGTATAGTAACCACGGAAACGTGGCAAGCTTCCCCTCGGGTCTGTTTACGTGGGTTTGCCAGAAAAGACTTTCAGAGAAAATGCAAACAAGAAGCAAAAGAGTGCTGACTCTTCTCTTTGTGAAAAAATGTTTTTGACCAGGTCAGGACCAGACGTCCTCATGGACACCTTAAAGATGCATGACACAAGCTTGATAATGTTAATCCTCCTCTTTAAGACGCTTTGGATAAAAGCCTCTGCTAAATGCATACATGTAAATGTAAATGTAAAATTAAGCCACTAGATGGCAGTAATGCAACTATGCTGAAATACCACTGAAACCAGAAGAAGAACTAAGTTTGGGACCATCTCACGTCAACGACGGTAACGCAGAAGATTAGTCTTTTTTTAAAATAATAATATTTAAATGAGTTAGGTATTCATCCAAGTGGAACGTATTGACGTTTCTGTACATTACAGAGGTGTACAGCTTTGCATTAGAGCAGGAGCTCTGCACTCTAAATGTTAAGAATATTTGTCTGTTGTTCCTGTAGGAAACATTTTCACTGTGTCAGGAGACGTGAGAGTACTTGATATTTACAGAAATATACATAAAGAGATAAACCAAGTACTGCTGTATCAGATACAGTGTAATGTGCTGTGCTACTGTTCTGTGTTACCGCTTTAAACCCAACTCAGTTTTCATTTTGGATCAGGACTCAGACTTTTAACAGCTCCGCTACGAAACAAAATTTCCCTTTGAGCTATTAATAAAAGCCTCAGTGGCCGGAGTTTCAGGTTGTGTTTTCATTAGTGACACAGGAGTGTGTAAAGACACACAGGGGAGATGAGTGTGTGTGTGTGTGTGTGTGTGTGTGTGTGTGTTCACCACCAAGAGGTGAAGTCACCAGCGCTGGATCACAGTTTTCTCCACATGGTGATGAAGGAACAAAAAAAATCCTTACAGACCAGCGATAGTGACATCCTCACACACGTGCACACACACACACACACACACACACACACACACACACACACACACACACACACACACACACACAGTCAATTTCTCCGGGGTTAAAACTTAAGATGATCCAGAAAGTTTCCTTTATCCCACCTAACCCCTGCTTTTACGGTGGTCAAACTTGGGTCCATTTAGTTGTCGACATGGGAGAGCTGAGAGAGAAGAGTTCAGAACAGAATAGTCACTGAAGCTATGATAAAGAAAAACCAAACGGTTGCTCTACTGGACGTTTCCCTCCGCAGACGAGTGGAAGACGTGAAATGACAGCAGGCAGCTGAGCTGAGAATTCAAACAGGACGACAATAAGAACTGGACACAAGTGAAGCTTGGTCTGACGACTCCTGACTCCAAACAAGTCTGTTTCTGGACTGAAGTGACCTCCAGTGTCCACATCTTACAGTGAAATGATAACTTAGTCACGTGGTCGACCAGCACGCCGTCTGTTTTTCGTCTGCAGAAGCGACATGATAAAATAAAGGTTAAATGTATTTAATCCAAAGCTAACAGCCCGTACACATTAACAACACTCAGACAGAGTTAGACAGACGCAGCTCTGCAGCCAATCAGGGAGCTTTAATGGACACAGCACACACTGCTCAAACAGCCATTAACACTGATTTATACACAGTGTGCATAAACACAACCCCCCCCACACACACACACACACACACACACACACCTTTCATTAACACCAATTTATCAGACAAACACAGCTGAGGAGACAGTAGATGTGGCTGACCTCACAGCAGTACACACACACACACACACACACACACACACAAATATAAGTCACAGACAGTGCAGCGGTTACATCATGACATCACTGTTTTCTTCTTCAAAATGTTTTGAGCCAAAACAAACAAACCACCTTCTGACTTGTGTCAACACAGGACAGTTTGTCTGCAGCAACACGTGTGTGTGTGTGTGTGTTTCTCTTTGTTTTCTTCTTCTTCTTCACTTGATGGGGTTTTTATTCCCAACCACCTCTCTGACAGTGTCCACACCCACATAAAAACCAGCAGAGTAAACACCACTGACAGACACATTGTCAGACGCTCCCTAAAGCTCTCATTCAAACACACAGGGCATCACAAAGTGCAGCCATCAGCAGAGGACAGGTCAGGCCCTCCATTTTCCCCCCCCCCCCCCCCCCCCCCCCGGGTCTGTTGAGTGGTGCAGAACGACTATACACCTAAAGGTCAATGTTCATACCAAAAACAATCACGTGAGCTCATTTTTTTTTATCTTTCTCTTCATGTGGAAAACTGACATCAAATGTCATTAATAAATGACACTTGTCTCCATCCAGTGTGTGATTTCAATTTTTTTTTCTTCCCTCAAACTAATTGTTTTCCTTCTGCACCGCTCGAATGTATGGTATATATCTGTAATGAAGGTGAACAGGTTCAGAGAAACTGTGGAGCTCTGTGCTATAGTGACCACAGCAGACCAGGGTCAGGGAGGTTGAAGTCATGTCAGTGGTTCAGTGACATGACAGTAGTAAGAGGAAGAACAACCACTGTACAGACAGAGCAACCACACACACACACACACACACCCCCACACAGGACTGTGCTGCTGCTGCTGCTCGCTCACACACACACAGCCTCAGGACTTTGGGTCAACCCCACAGGCCCTGGTGGTCGTCATGGTTACCCCTGAGGTTCTCAGCAGCAGGAACCTTTGTTGTCATTTCAACCACTTCATGTTCATGTTGATTCAATCGAACACTCTTAAATGAAGTTCACTGGTGTGGAACTAACTCCAGTCCAACATTAGCCATGAAAACACTAAGCTCCCAAGGAACCTGAACCTGAGCCTCAGAACTTGCTCAACACTGCCACCTACGTCTGTGAATTCAGCTAAGTTTCTGAGTGTTTTGACCAAACATTGTGCAGAGCGACAGCCTTCTCTCTGGGAACGACTGATCCAGTTTCACACTGGAGCCTGTTGGAGTGTGAAGAGAGGCTGTGATCAAAGTCCCTGAGGGGTGAGGAGAACGGCACTCACTCTGTTCATGTGTTGAAGATGACATCGCCTTCAAACCTCCATGCTGGCCCCAGGGCCTGCTCTCAGTTAAAGAGAGAAGAATCACAACGAGAGAATGACTGTGTGTGTGTGTGTGTGACATCGAGCTGCTCCGTTGTCCAACGACGAGGCTTCCTGACGACTTACTTCCTGTGCGTTTAAAACCACTGAGCGTCTGTTAAACAAAGTTAACACCGACTCAAAACTGATTTTGCCTCATGTAGAGTGGTCATCTGAGTAAAACAGTTTCACACTGTGCTCACTGATGCATCAGTGACTGCACTGACCTTATTAAACCGATTGGTAGTAAACCTTAACACCAGTACTGTTAACTGGACACAGTTCCTTTTTATTGCTGCCATAAAACTTTATCGGTTCAATATTGTTCGATTCACCAACAGCAGTTCACAGAAGTCAAGTGTTAGCTCGGCTGCTGTTAGCAACACGGCCCAGTCACGAGGGCCTGAATGTATGGTCCACAATATCGACTGAAAAATTATTTATTTATCTATTTCTAGACACACTGCAGCTCAGGATTGTAATCCCAGTGAAGCCCAGCAGAGGCAGCAGTCAAAGTTGGTGAATTTGCTTTGACTGCAGGGTTGTTGAAGTGTGTTTGAAGACAGATGAGCAGAGCTCTGCTCCTCGCTGCAACAACAACATCCTCCTCTCCACGTCCACTGTCCAGACACGGACGTAAAAACACTCAGCCGTGTGTTTACCTTGTTACAGGGGCGTGTCTGTCCCTGAGGTCTGTCTGTGGACTGACCACAGTCAACATGTGGACATGACGAAACACTGGTGTAAACACTGTCCCCGGGTCGACACCACCGTAAAACAACACTGATAAAAACGACGGAGGAGGAGGAATTGGAGAAACCAGACAGTTGTGAAACTCTTGGCCAATGAGTCTCTACTCCGATCCCAAACTGTTCAGGACATAAACATGGCTGTTCATGTAAAGACAAGCACATGACCAACTCAGCGCTTTGGTGCTGGTGTGGCAGAGCAGAACATAAACACAGATGAAGACTTGACATGAAGTGTGGGGGAGGGACAGGGGGGAGTCAGCGGGGGTGGGGGTGCTAACTGGAATAAAGAGGGAAAGGTCCTGCACCGAGTCTCTGATGATGTTCAAGTCTGCACTGGCTCCTTCATACCAGCACCACACACACTGTCAACACACACACACACACACAGCGTCCTAATCCTCAGCACTGATCTCAAGCACCAGCCTGAGCGCTGACGACGACTGATGTTTTTGTCTGAGCTCATTCACTTTGCCTCATCTTTGGTTTTTCCTTAAACTCTCCACAGAAGACGAGCTGACGCTGCAGCAGATCCACACAGATCTGGTCTGATCTGGACCTGGACCCAAGACCAACAACGTCAAGCACGTATAAACGGACTGAAGCAGGCTCACTATGAACTGAGAAAAACTGGAAACAAAGAGGAGACAGAAACAGAGTCTGGGGTCTGGACCCATCGGACTGAGAGTTCAGATCCACTACAGATGATTGGTGCTCATTTAAGGCCCAACATGTTGTGATCCAGATCTGACCCAAATAAGAGGTGACCACAACACAACCAGAACTTTTATGAGTGGAAACCAAATTAAACCAGAGCCATCGAGACACACACACAC